GAGAGACAAGGTATTTCAAGGGACCATTCAAGGTGAATTGACCTGTCAACACCCTTTGAGTCACTGGGGGGAAGTAAGGAGGAGGGAGTGAGTTAGGATGGAACGGGGGTTAGTGGATTAGAGATTGATGTAATAAGCCATAAATTTAGTGTCTCCATTCAATCTTTTCAAATGACGAGCCAGGAGCTTAAATTCATAACTTTGCTAGACACTAAAAATCATTGGCAGAATACAGATATTGGATTTACAACAATCTATAACCCACTAGCAACTGCCTCCTGGTGGCCTTTTCTGCTTCCACTTCCTTCTCCCCCTATGACTGGAGGGGTGTTAATGGGCCACTTCACCTTGAAGGGTCCCTTGAAATAAGGGTCCCTTATGTCCAACAACCTGTTCCACTTTGCATTTCGCTGTGATGCTCAGAGTACCTTTCCCAGAACTGCAGAAGAGGTCTGTGTAAACTCAAAAGCTTGTCTCTCTCCCCAATAGAAGCTGGTCTAATACAAATATTACCTCACCCACCTTGTCTCTCTAATATCCTGTGACCAACACAGCTACAACAACACTGCATATAAGTGAGTTAGGCATCAAACTTCCATAGGCTTTCCATGGCTTGCAGACCTCTAATTCCCTAGGTCCTTTTGAGAATCCCAGGCTATTTAAAGTTATGTATGGATAAATTCATCCATACATAATTTCAATAAAGGTCTAATCCAGATTTACATTTCAGAAACAAAATGGGGAACACTTCAGAAGTACACCTTTGCAATAGAAGGAAAACTTGCCTTAACCTTGTATATTATCAGAACAAAGTTCAAGCCACTTCTGTGTACGCAGCCCTAATCAAACTTGGAGTAGCTGGATAGCAGAGTAGATATGAAGAGCAGAGTTTAGTTCCAGCTACATGAAGTATGCTGGTACACGTATTTATGTGCCTCTTTATTTACCTTCAGTGTCCCTCGAGAACTGATCTGAAAATTACACCTGCATCCCAATGGAAGCAATCACACAAAGAACAAACACATTTTTTCCATGAGTTTTCTCAGTGAGATCAAGAATAGGGACCACTGAAGGCTTCTGAGATAAGCTAAAAATCAAATAAGTAAGATCTGATTTTCCTCAAACGTTTGCAGTGTTGCTGTAGACATATTGGTTCCAGGATATGAGAAAGACAAGGTGGGTGAGTTAATATCTTTTGTTGGATCAACTTCTGTTGGTGAAAGAGACAAGAGCTTGTCTCTTTCGCCTACAGAAGTTGGTCCTATAAAAGATATTACCTCACCCACCTTGTCTCTCTCCTCACTCAGTTTCACAATGCTGTAACTACACTGACTTCAAAATTTCCTCAGCTTTGCAAAAGTTACAGAGTGGTGGCATTATCCAGTTTTATTGTTCCTATTGCTGCTCATTCCAATGTTGCAGAAGTTTTGATAAGTTACAATGTGGAAAAAGAGAAGAAAAATAAAAGGAAAAAGTAGCAAACAAACAAAACACAACCTAAAAATGGATTTAGTAGTTAAAAAATAAAAAGGTGGGTTTTAAAAAAACCAAAATGTACAAAAAGTGAAGCAAAATGAAAATGTTCAGCTCATAAGGAAATGGAACAAATATTGTTTCAAATAGGAATATCCTGTAGAAAAACTTTTTAAAAAAATATTCAGAAATGACATTTTCATTTGAAAAAGTTTATTTTTGATGAAACCCCATTTCTTGATGGAAAAAAATATGAAAAATGTTCAGCCAGCTCTAACTCCACTACAGTTACTCCTGATTTACACAGAGGTGAGTGAGAGGAAAAGCACCCCCAGTTATTTCAAAGAAGTTACTCCTGCTTTACTTTGAGGTGAGCGAGCGAAGTTTCAGACTCATTGACTCATATGGAGTTACTCCTGATTTATACCAGGGTAAGTAAGAAGGGAATCAGTGCCTTATAAACAGTGTGACTGGGCACATTACAAATGCATACCTCGACCGATATATCGATGCTAGCTAGAGATTATTAGACAGTTGTGGACAGAAGGAGCGGCAGAAAAATGAATGGCATGGTTAGACAGATGAATAATAGCTGATAGACTTCATAGACACGTTAAGGAGAAGATTTTCAATCCACCATGGGCATTTAGACACCCAATTCTTATTTAAATGAGTGAGAATAGGTCAATCTAATACCTTCAGTAGCATTGAAATCTCAGCCTACATGGATAGACGGAGGGGTATATATGACAATAGACAGCTAGACAAGCAGAGAGACAGAGTCGTGCAACTCTACATTTCCCGTTGCACTACTGGTTATGTCCTGCCCTGGTGAGTAAATTCAACTGGATATCATTGAGTTGCTCTGTTCCCATAACTGCCACGATGCTGCAGTGTGTGACTCACTCACATCAAAACCCACAAGGGGCAGTGAAATTCCATGCCTAAAGATGGCATTTCAAATGTGCCCAACTCGGCTCCCATCAAGGACAATGAAGGCTTTGCCACTGAAACAGTGTTAGGCCACCACTGAACATCTTCATAAATCCCCTCCTGATGTGGTCCAGGGAAGAAAACCTGAGGCTGAATGATCTCCATCATTCCCTCAGGTAGCATGGATGAAATATTGTTGCCTATCTGGTCCCAACTGAAGTAACCTGGTTCTGAAATCCATCTGCCTCTGCTTAAAGGTCCAGCCAAAATATTCTGCTTAATACAGTGACTGGGATTTTCTAAAAAGAGCCCAAGAGGAATAAGGTGAGTGAGGTAATATATTTTATTGGACCAACTTCTGTTGGAGATAGAGACAAGGAGTTGGTCCATTAAAAGCTATTACCTCACGCACCTTTTCTCTCTAATATCCTGGGACTGACACGGTGATAGCAACCCTGCATCCCCAGGAGGAATAGGCATTCAACTCTCATTGACTTTCCTACTCTTAGTCCAGTGCCTTATCCTGAAAACCATAATACCTCCATGAAACCTGATATCTAGACAGATTACAAAGTCTCTCATGTGTCCAGACAGGACTTTTAAATAAATGGAATAATAAGTCATAATATTAATTAGAGATTGTGATGAAATGGGGGGTCTTCTTAATGATTTGTATGAATATTGTGTGCATGCCTCAGTTTCCCTTATGTGTTGCATGATTAACCAGGCAGTGGGATAACAATGTTTGATCTTTACAGAGACCCTTAGATGATTGAGTCTGACTGTGGTTTAGCTGCCAGGCCCCAGACAATGGCCTCATATTTTGTAACTTAGCAACTGATGGCCGGGGAGAGAGGGGCAACTTCTACAAGAAGCCAGCCAGGAGAAGAAAGAGAGAGAGAGGTGGAGGCCAGGTGACAAGTTTTGCCTGGGAAACTCAACAAAGGATGGAGGGACAACTGGACATGACTGAGGGTGGGCTGTTGGAAGTGAATCCATCATCTGGTTTTGGGGGCTGTACAGGGGAGCCAGGGGGCTCTGGGTTTACTCAAGATGGGTTTTACTGTAACTTTCTGGCTTTTGTGCTAACAAAGAACTTTCCTACACTGTTTTCCAGACAACTAATAAACCTTCTGTTTTACAGCACTGGCTGTGGCTGGGAGTCACTGCTAACTGCAGAAGTTGGAGGTGTGTGGCCCCTTTGGGGGTGTGTAAGGCTTCCCCAAGTGTCCTATCCAAGTGTCCTATCCCCCCTGACTGGGGGGAGCCCACAGCATGAAACAGAGGTGCTGAACACTCCCAGGCCTGTGCCAGGAGGCACTGAAGCCAAGGAGGCTTACCCTAGTGAAAGTGCACTGTGTGGGGTTGTCACACTGAAGGGGGTCCTGACTGAGACTGATTGAGGGCTGTTCCAGAGCACCAAACCTGTGCACCCATGACAAAGATTAACATTAAAAAAAAATGATTTACTTAATATATGTATATATGGTTACAGCTTGTCATTTGCTTGTACGTATTCATGTTTCACAAAATAATTCCCATGGGTAATATGTGGTCTGTAGACAATGTGAGAATTTTACATTGAAGTACGAGATATCTTTGGTAGCTTTGGTTGCTAGTACAGGCCACATGATATTGCTTGCTACAGCTGGTTGAAAAATGCCAATTATTTTTCACTGGAAATGTTTTTAAATACTTTCCAGTGAAATTTTGGGGGACTTTGCTCAAGAAGAAAGACCAAAAATGGGAAATGTTCAAATTTCTAAAATTATTTGCAGTAAAATAACTTATCTGGTAAAATTTTCAATTTTGTGGAAAAATCTTATTTTTAATTGAAAAACTAGGGTTTTGGTTTTTTTTATATTTAAAAAAAAAACATTTTCCAGTTTCAGATTTTTTGGTTGAAAAAACAGAACATTTAGACCAAAATACAAAAAAATGTTGTTTTGTTATTTATCATTAATCGTGTTTATTATGGTAGCGTCCGTGAATCAACCAAGATCAGGACCCCGTTGTGCTCAGTTCTGCATAAACACAGATTAGCAGACAGTCCCTTGCAATCTAAAGAACACACAAGCAAATCAATCAATAGGATGACGGCAAACGTCATGTGAGTGCCACCATTTCTTTCTTCCTTGGGTGAGTTTAATTAGGAGGGTATTAGCGAAATGGAAAGACAAGGGAAGGGAAAAGGAACAGGTGGATAGAACAGGGAAAATGTCTGGGAGGAAAATATGAGGGGCATGTGCAGAATGAAGCTGAGGTTAAGAGACTGTGAGATGGTGGGAAGGGAAGAGGGTGTTGGAACAAACTATGTCGGAATTGTAGGATAGAGACATGGGAACAATGCATGGGTTGCTGTGTCCCCAGAGAACACAAGGACTTGATGGTGCTACTGCATGCTCAAGTTGAAGTTCTGCTCATATTGATAGGCTTTAATAGATTCTGAGATTTTAAGGCCAGAAGGGCCCATCATGATCATCTAGTTTGACCTATGGCATAACACAGACCAGAGATTTTCACCCAGCGATCCCTGCGTTGAGTTCAATTTTGTTTTTTCCATTTTCTTCCTTCCCCGCATCCTCCATTTCTAACTAAGTGTACTGATGTTTCTGCAGTGGAACTCCTTTTCTGATCAAAGTCTTCTTCGGGGCCTCTTTGACCTCCTTGTTCCTCAGACAGTAGATGATGGGGTTGAAGAGTGGGACAACAATGGCATAGAGAGCAGAAACAATTTTGTTGGTGTTGTGGGATGGAAGGCCCTGGGGCCGGATGTAGATGAAAATGCTGACTACATAGAAGATAACGACCAGAATGAGGTGTGATGCGCAAGTGGAGAATGCTTTCTGGTGGCCCCGTGTGGAGGGGATGTGGAGAATGGTGGAGAAGATACAAGCATAGGAAAGGATTATTACAGAGAGGGGAATCAGCAGGATAAACAGGGCAGCAACAAAATCTGCCAGTGCTGCCTGGGTCATGTCTGTGCAGGCTAAGTTCAAGAGAGGGGACACATCACAGAAGAAATGGTTGATGACATTGGGACCACAGTACGTCAGTTGAGATATAAGAAACACCTTCCATGCAGAGATGAAGAAGCCGCAGAGCCAGGACCCAGCTGCCATGCGGATACATAGAGCCTGGCTCACAATGGCCAGGTAACGAAGTGGGTTGCAGATGGCAACATACCGGTCATAGGCCACGACGGCCAGGAGGATGCACTCAGTGTTCCCCAAGCCGAGGAAGAAATAGAGCTGCGTCATACAGCCTCTGAAGGAAATGTGTTTGCTCCCCGACACGAAGTTGACCATAGTCTTGGGCACGGTGACTGTGACGTATCAGATTTCCAGGAAGGACAGGTTACTCAGGAAGAAGTACATGGGACAGTGGAGGTGACAGTTCACGTGGATCGTCATGATGATGATGACATTTTCTAGCACTACTAAGGTGTAGGCAATGAGAAAGCTCATGAAGAAGAGGAGCTGCAGATGAGGAGCTACGGGGAACCCTAGGAGAATGAATTCTGTGTCACTGGTTTGATTTCTCATCTCCATGTCTAGCAGCCAGCTCTGTAATAAATATATATATAATCAGAACAACAACATATTTACTACTAGTGATTATCAGTATGTTATCTATCGATCAATTGATTTATCCCCTTATACACACATCTATCAACCAATCAACCTATCTGCTGATCTAATTCCATATTTCTCTCTCTCTCCCACTGTCTTTTTACATTTTATTTTCAATTTTTTTCACACTACAGATAATGCTAATGCTAATCAGTGAGATTTTCAAAAGTGGTTAAGTGGCTTACTATTAAAAATTTCATTGAAATTCAATAGCATTTGTGCTCCTAAATTACCTAAGTGTGTTTGGCACCTAACCTGCTTAAGTGGTTTTTAAAACCCCACTCGGTGCCGAGCTGCATCTTTAGGTCCCTAAATACCTTTGAGAATCTGGCCCTTATGCATATTTGAAAAGCAAAACTACTAATAATACTGGGTGTCCTTCATGCTTATGTCGACGCTGGTGAAGAATATATGACTTTAGTATGTAATAATGATGAAACCAGTACACAGATCATTACTTAAAGATTTGAACTGAAGAAAAGGGATAGTCTCTAGGCACTATTGTAGCATAAATATTGTAGCATAAAAACAACAATGATAATTGTCTATATGTTTGTGCAGAGCCTATTACAATGGAGAGCAGAACAAGCTGTACTCTAGGAGTTACTAAAATTAATATAAAAGACAGATTTGCATCCAGGGAGTGAGGGAGTAAAGGAATGCAAGGAGCCAAAATATTACCTTGCACTGGATACCTGTACCAACCTTCTACTCAGTCATTACTTAGTCAATCAAGTTGCTAGTTGGATTCAATAGGTACGTTTACATTGCAAAAACAAGCAAACAAACCCAAACCTGCAGCAGCAAGTTTCAGAGTTTGGATCTGCAGACACAGGCTCATGCTATGGTGCAAAAAATAGCTGTGCAGACATTTGGGCTTGGGCTGGACCTCCATTATGTGACATGTACTAAAGAGAGTGGATTGTCTTGCTGTGATCTGTATGACACTTCTTAGATAAATGATCAACATTCATTTGATTTCATTTGAAGAATCTGAGCTAATTATATTTTGACTGATCTTTTAATTGCATCTCTTAACCAATTTGTACAAAATAAGAAATTTAAGAAAGACCTCTATAAAATAGATAGATAGATAGATAGATAGATAGATCTACAGACCGTACAGTCATCACCATCAAAATCTCTATCTCTCCCCTCATTATTCCTCGCACTGTCTAATCTCTATTTTAATGCACTCAGCATCCTAATAACTAGACATTCTCCATGTATACATGTCATCTATGTATACATTTCTAAAATGCTTCCCTTACACCTCCCGGAATGTGATACCTTTTGGAAGGTTTTGTAAGAAGGCTAGCAAAGTTGCCAACTTTCCCATAAAGAGTTCCCTTAAATAGGGAAGTGTCGAGAAAGAAGACACATTTTGATGAAATACTTTTCATCAGCTCCACGACTCATTCTGTAAAACACTACTCGGTATTCTATGGGAAAACACCATCTGGCTTGTAAAGATAACAATTAGAATAAAAATCAACTTGCCCTTAACAGATATGACTCTTCCCAATGGCTTTATGTAGCTTGGAGTGTTTAAAGTGCAGAGAGGATGTAAAGAACTGGCAGTGTTCTTTGCCTCATGCTGATGCAGGTGTAGCTAGCACATTATCAGCCCTTCTCTGTCCCGTGAGAATTGGTCTGTAAATTATCATTACTCTCCCAATGGAAGCAATCACACAAGATAAACAAATATCATCTCACCCTCCTAGCCATAATGTTCATCAGTCTAGAGAAATCAGCCTATCCTATGTTCTCTCACTGATCTGCTGTGTTACCTTCAGCAGGTTGTTTCCCCTCTGACCCTTTGTCTGCCTTGTCTATTTAGGTTATATACTCTCCACGACCTCTTGTTCTGTATATACAGCACCTGGCAAATTGTGAGTTGATCTTGCGTGGAGCCTCTAGGTGCTACTTTAGTAATAATGAGGGGAAAAACAGCTTCTGAGAGAAGCAACAAGCAGCAGTTGAAATGAATTCAAGATAGAATAGTGTGATTGTGGGCAGGTGTGTAAGACACAGGTAGACGGACACTGGGCAGACAAATGGATGCCAGCTGGATAACAGAAGTGCAGATAGACAAATAGATGAGAGAAGTATAAAAAAAGATAAACCAAGGAGGAAGGGGAAATAGATGCTGTGGTTGAAAGGATGGCTCGTGATTAGGTCTGGGATTTTCAAAGGTGATTAAGGGATTTAGGTGCCCAACTCCCATTGAAATTTATGTTCCTTGAAAATCTGACTGTACACAGAGAGATGGGGGGAGGGGGGAGAGAGAGAGAGAGTATCTTGTAGACTTAAGGCAAAATTTTCAAAAATGCCTAATGGACAGATTTTCAAAGAATTTAGATCCCAAAAGCTGGAGATAGGCACCTGTGGCTCGATTCACAAAGAAACTTAGGTGCCTCAAAAATCACTGGGATTCACAAAGACTGAGTTGGGTACCCAGGTTCCCTCTACAATGAATGGGGAGAGAGAAGAATCTCAGAATGGTATCCACAAAAGCCAGTACGCTAGGCAGGGAGCCGTCTAAGCTAGCCAAAGGGAGATGCCAAGGAGAGGGGTGGTGCTAAACCTTGCACCACTCAGAGAGTGTGGTGTCTTAATCCAGGCTGCAGGGAGGCACCTATCTCTGTTTGGGATTCTCAGCCATGAACCGTCTCCCGGAGTTAGGCACCTGTGCCATTTTTGCAAGAAGTCAGGAGGAGACTAACTCCCTGAACAGGGATCTGCTAATTCTCACATGAGGGCCCTAACCTCTGGGCTAGGGGCTATTCTGACATGGGGACCCTAGTCCTGCCTGTGAAAGCTCTTCCACTGTGGATAATTAAAGCATCCTCAGAGCAGGAGGACTGGATCCTTGGTCTCCCACAGCCCAGGAGAACGCTCCAACCACCAGGCTACAGAGTCGGTCTCATGCTCGCAGTCTCTCTCTCGCTCGCTGGTCCATTGATGAATTATTTAGTCAAAGTGGAACAGTTTCAACAATAGCAATTGAGGAAGCTGCACATCAGATTGTCCCTTAGCCCAGTGGTTAGCACAGTCATCCAGCATGTGGCTGAGCCACCAGCAAATCCCTTCTCTCCATCAAGAAGAGGTGGGCCTTGAACCAGTGGTCTCCCAGATAAGTGTCAGTCTCAGGAGAACTGCAGCGGTATTGTCCCCTCCACAAGTGCCCAGTCAGGCCCCACCTGCCACTTGTCTCTGGTCAGGATCCTTGTCCCACTACCTTCTGACCAGGAGATTTTAAGGCTGAACAGCTCCCTGCCTTCCCCTGTGATATCCCCAGTCTGTCGAACTGCCACAGCTGGCGCTTTGCTTTCTCTCCGAGGGCTCTGAATGGTGTATTGCCAGTTACCACCCATCTCTTTCTAAGCAAGTACCTTTAATCCGAAGGCGAAAGCATTACAGAGAAACTACAATAAAAACAATAAACAGATTGAAACCCACACTGGGCCTCTAGGCACTTGGACATCTACCATGCAACAATGAGCATGGCCAGAGGCAGAAACATAGGTGCCTGGGAAACTTTTACTGCAAACATTTAGGTGTCGAGTGATGTTAGGCACCTTCAGGGTTCAGTGGCAGCTGAGCGGGGGTTTTGTGAATACCAGTGATGCCTAAATCTGGGAATTAGGCACCTAAAGTGTCTGTTAAATGAATAAGTCCCTTTGTGAATCTAGCCCAAGGTGCCTAACTCCCATGATTTTGGGAGTTAGGCAGCTAAATACCTTTATATATCTGGCCTTAGGTGCCTAAATCTATTTCAATGTTGATTTGGGCCCTCCCTCCCTTCCACTCCTTTGAAAATTGCAGCCTTAAGACCTTCGGATGGTGGATTGATAGATGGATATCCTTCCCAAGACATCACAGCACCAACGTCATCTACTGATGGATCTTTTTCTGTTTTCTCATTATGTCTAAATGGCAACATAATGTAGGTGTATGAGCCTCACTTTCGGTCTTAAGGAGTCTGTTGTATTAATTTAAATGGAATAAATGGGCCGAAGGTGTTAACATAACCCAGTCACTGTCCAACATTAAACATGTTAAACAAGTTTTGATACACAGAGACCTCAGCCTGCTCAGTGCCATTGCAAACACACCATTAAAACCCCTTTGACCTTTTATGAAAGGTACAGAAAAGAAGGGGAAACAGTTAAAGTCTTTGAAATATAATGTATTAAATAAATCTTTCTTTGAAACATCATCCCTTGTTCCCTTTCCCTGGAGCTGGAGAGAGCTTTTCGAAGGAAAAAAAACCCCTTGTTTGACAGTCTCCAAGGTCGTATCAAAGATGGTGATAACTGTCCATGGGCTCACAGCCATGATGGAAAAGCTCATTCCAGTAGCCATTTTTCCCCAAAGTTTCTTTTTTGAAGCACCCCAAAAGGGAGTGATGGGTGGAATACCCCATCCCTTCATTGTTTTTTCTACCAGTCAGGCCTCATTTCTTACATACCAATTTTGTTTCACTGATTTCCACACTTTTCTTGTTTACCAGGGATAGTCTTAAAACAGTCTCTGAGTTTTAACAGGAGACCTTTTTGTTTGGACTAATTCAGTTTTTCTGATTCCCATTTATACCTTTTCCCATCAATGTTTCCCCATTGTTATTAGAGGTTATTGTGATATCTTATGATCTTTCACATACTTTTTACAGTTGAGCTCACAATTAGAGTAAATTTGTACGCCTAATTATTATAACAGGTCCCATGTTCAACTCTGAAATGAGCCCAACTTTAAAAGTCTGGGATTTTCAAAGACACTTAAGGGAGTTAAGCACCCAGATGGAATTGGGCACCTAATTTCCTTAACTTCCTTTGCAAATCCTTAGGCAATTGTTATTCTTATGTTTTCCTCCAGAGCATCTGGCAATGGTGACATTTCCAAATTCCTGTAGAGAGAGA